AAAATCCCACTTTTGAATCGATTTCATACAGTTTAATTTGCTGAAATTTGCATCTTTGGCATTCTATACCAAATTGTGATATAACGCTATGCCTACCTTTCTTCAGCTTCATCCGTTCTCGAATAAGACTTGTAGCGTCCAAGTCACCTCGTTTGATTGCTTCGTGCTCTTTCCGTGAAATATAGACCACACGCTCGAGCAGGCGGCCACTTTTCGTGCGAACCCACGTTTTCAGTGCAATCTGCTCCTCTTTGCTGAAGGACTCAAGGTTTTCAGCCTCTCGCTTTGATAAATACTTCGAGAGCAACGCCCTGGGGTCTCGACCCTTAGAAACGGCCTCCTCAAAATCTTGGTAGTCTTCTTCGGACAAGAATACGATACGCTCAATTAGACGGCCACTTTTACTTCTGATGTAGGTTTTCACCGCACGAAGTCCTGTTAAAATAAAAAAGTAATAAGAAAAAGTGTAGATTTTTATTAAAATAATTTGTATTAAGTAATATATTTTAAATATCACCTTGGCCTTGGTGCTCCGATATTGCATTTAGTATTTTTATGCATGAGATGTATTCACCCTATTTAGTTTAAGAGTAAACCTTACGTTTTCACATAGTCTTGCTCTACCAAAAGTTATTCCCATACTCCACAGGAGTCTATAGTTCAAACTAAGTCCACAGTGGATGAGAATAATGTTATGAAGCAAGGCTAAGCAGAATTAAATACATCTCATGTAAATAATCCATCTACTTTCAAACGAAAAATGTGGCATTTTTAGTCTTCTTTAAAGTTGAATTTTCTCCATCATATCTGATGCTTGAGAAGTCCTCTTTTCTCAGCCTTGTTGCAAATTAAGAGAAAATTATTTGTTCTCTTATGCCGTACAGATCAACATAAGATCTTGCAGAAGATCCTTGAAGTTTACTGGATTCATGAGCTGATCCGCCTTGCTCATATCAAGTAAATAAGCTATCCCAAACTATAAAGCATACTGGCCGACGTAAACTTTATGTCATTTTTCCATAAATGGAGTGTTTTATACATTTAATTGTCAGGTTTAAATGAAACTATATGAGATGTATTCACCCTTTTTCGTTTAAGATGATGAAGAACTGGTAGTAGAATTTTCCCGCAATGACATAAGCGCTGGAAAATTTAACCGCCAGTCCTTCATCACCTTGAACGAAATTGGCTGAATACATCTCATACTACTGATTTACTAGTAGTCTCGAAACTCTACTCATATATAAATAAAAATCTCCGAGAGGTTCACTTAATGTAGCTATTTATTGGAGATGGGCTCCAACAAGCCAAATAAACATCAAAATTCCCTAACAGTTGTTAGCAATCCGCGTATATCCAATCGCTCGGTTTAACTCTGGTTATTCGGGAAACACTAAAAAACGGATTATCTGAACTAGGCACCAATCTTCTGAAGCGCTTATGTTATAGGCAAATTAGAATTGGTACAGAAAATGAGGGCATTTTTAGGTTTTCCCTTCAGGTACTCTCTTTAGTGGGCATTCATGCAGGCATGAGCATATAAAAACCGCATTAATTCTTTGAGTAGTCGCCTTAGAAACCATGCTATGCTTCCTCTGATGACGATCAAAAAAAGATTTTCTCTGCCATGCATGATTCGGGTAACTTACTGAGAAAGCGTCTTTATTATTTTACTTATAAAAATGCCACAGTTAATTTTGATAATTGGCTGTAAGACCTGGTACTTTGCTATGCTTTTTATTGGTCCCCAAAGATTATTCGTTATTTTTATTCAAGCTACGACTCATTTTAATTCATAGCATTTTGTCTCGGTTTTCACACACAGGTAGAAATGAAATCCATTTAGCAAATAACGCTTGCTGGCATAAGGTGATGAAGGATTATTGGTTGAATCATTGTACAGCGAGAGGATTAGTCTTCATAATGCCATAGCATTTCACATGGCCTCGTCTCCTGAAAGGTATTCTCCTCCACGCTGGACTGGACTGCAGTTTCAGTCTAGCCTCGATCGCATCAACCAAGCCAACTGGAATCGAACTCGGAATGCAGTAGAGCAGACTACACTTCATACATGTTGCCATGACGCCAAACTACCTCGGACTGTGTCATATCACATCTTTTTGGTGAGATTGTCGTTAGGCAAACTTGTATTTGCTATTACAATCGAGACTATCAGTGGCTTTTGAAGATGAAGCAACTTTAATGAAAAGTATCGTAGAAACTAGAGCTTAGCCGTTTGCGTATGACCAATCTCATAACCTTTTCACCTGCAAGCGGCAACAAGTTGAAGAAGGAATTTTTCAATACTCATACACAAAGATGGCGGCTTAGCTAATCGGATTGGTTACAATTCTAATCATACTTACTCACTTTCTACAGAGCTCAGCAACTCGACCCGACGACAGCAATCTTAGTCTTATGCTCTATTGAATTCATAAGAAGGTGATTTCACGCATGCTAACCGGACCCGTTAAGATGGGCCTTGTTAATTCTTAATTATTAATGGCAGCTTACTACTCATACATACTCACATGCACATGTATGGACATAAAAATGAACTAGTCAAGCAATGAGGTACGTCAAAAAATTAATATTTGTCAGAGTATTTACAGCATGTGGAGATGAGCAGATTAATTGTATTAAATTTGTGTCAACTAGGAAGTGTCATGGTGATGACGAGCTGGCCTGACGACATTTGCAGAGTGACATGAAAGACTATAAAAAATGCGACAGTCTCAACTTCACAGTAAAATCAAGCCACGGCAGGTAGATGTGAATTTATCACCGTCTTTGCTTAAGATCGTACTCACTTTCACACCAAATGACATACAACTCAATTTCTATTAAATGTTTCCCATTGGACTCCTGATTGCTGGCTGGCCCCCCTTCTCCGTATTGCCTCAATTTTTCCTATTTCAGTAGTCATAAGTAGTATAAATAAATAAATATATTTATAAATAAATAAATAAATAAATAAATAATATAAAAGGCCTTCTAAGATCTCAGATAAGACTTAATAAGGAGGCAATCTATGATTCATCCGGGATTCAATAATCGCGGCAATTAGTACCCAGCTAGCAGCATTAGTATGCAATAAAGTCAGAAAGGATGCATAGGGTGTTTAGCGGTAAAGTTCACACCAGGTATGTCCCGAATGGTAGTAAGAATGAGCACTATCAGCACCAAATCAGCATAGTGCTATCAATGAAAATAGCGAACGCCTGTATGATGAACCCTATATGCATAT